ATACATCTTATAAAATCGTCAGTATTGAATATCAATATAGCGATTTTGTATCGGGGGCTCTGCCCCCGAACCCTCGAAAGGGGGGCGTTACCCCCCTTTAAACCCCCAGGCGCGGGGTGCCCCCAGCCATGCTCACCCCTAATCTAACCTTCAACATTTAGTCAGAAAACTTAGAATACTCAGAAAAAATATTACAAAATACGCTAGGTGACATAGGCACCATACTCTACTCCTAGAGGTTTGAGCCTATACGAGCTTATGTGGTTTTCCTATTTTTCTTATTTTTTATTTACAATAATTGTTAAAAAATATTAAAGTTAAAAGAAACGCTAGGTATCACTAAATTCCTTACCGACCCAGCATCTAAGTGTCAGATTAACACCTTATATGAATTTTTGTCTTTGTTGAAGGGATGGTAGACGAGGCTCTTTGAAAGTGGGGAAGATGGAGGTAGTGTTCATAGTAATGGGGAAGTCTTGAGAAGTTGGGAGAGGTTGGAGAATGTGAAAGTTGCAATAGAGAAAATCATGATAAAAAATCGAAGTGATTTAGTCCGCGTAAACAGTACGCGCTCTCCTAGACACTCTCACCATCTAGACAGACAACCTAGGTGTCATCGTGACCTTGGCAGGATCCCAGATTGGACTAGACACTTACTTTCTAAAGCACCATTCTAAAATCAATTAAAATTTAGAAAATTATTAAAATGCCTCATAAATCTTGACATTCATAGTTATTTAAAAAAAACCAATTTCATCAATTCACTTATCTACAAGAATTTAACTATAAAAATGCGGTTAATTAAATAAAATACTTTTTTAATAAGCTCGTGGTGCTACTCATGAAAGCGAAAATTGGCAGTGGACTTAACATGTGGTTTTTTAGTTTGAGGACATCGAGCGGACAGGATTCATTCACACATCGAACGGTCAAGATTCATTCACAGCGATATAAATCTCTGCATCCACTCCCAAACTTCCCTCAGCTCAAGATTTAGGGTTTCTATCTCTGCGGTCGCCCCCGAAGGTTGCTCCTTTTCTCCCTTTAATCCTACGCTTTTCAAAACCCTAGCTTTTGATTTCTAGTTTTCGATTATTTTCTCGTATGTAGATCCATTCGTTTATCTACAAATCTGTGATTAGCTTTAGAAAATTTTAACTGATGGGTACAAACTTTTTCTGTTTTTATTTGGTACTGGGATCAATTCATGTGCTTCTTAATAGATTTAGTTATGTGCCCATTTCATATTTATGCTGAATTAATCACGTAATTTTGTGTAGGATATCAATCTCAGTCGGTGTGTTACTTGTGCATCATATTAAGTTTGTTAGCATTTTGAGGAATGCGAGCAGTACCGAAATAATGATTTTAAATTTATTTTTGTGATTAGTTTGAAATGAGAAAGATATATCTGAAAATATTGCTTCTGTAAGCTTTTGAGAACTTTAGATTTTGCGTAATATAATCGACAATGGCAAATGCTGTGCATAGAGATTCTTGTGCTTTGATGGAGTTCTTCTGGTTTCCTCTATATATTTAAAGAAAGTAGGGCTTTTGACCGATTCAGTTGTGGGTAGGCATTTGGCACTTGACAATGTTTTGGGTTTATAAGGAAATTCTTGGCTATATACTTGCGGCAGGGTTCCCCAAAACGATGGTTGATCTATTATATTGCTGTCGTAGGCCTTTAGCAAAACAATTAAACTTAATCTTGCAGCTACAACAACATGAATATTGTGTAGACCTGGATCCTGCGGTTCCAATGGCATTATTCTGTCAACAATAATATTGTGTGAAATCTAAATAAATCAAATAGAGGTCTCGCACTATAGAAAAAACTAGTTATAAAAGAAATTAAAATATGAACAAAGCAAAAGACCATGAGTATATCCATGGTCTTTTGCCTAAAGTACAATATAACAACTACTAAAATGTTATCTATATTCTCAATATATCCTATGTGGGATTAAACTAAGAACCCAAAGGTCCAAGCAGGATATAGTATCAATTCTTTTTTGCGATTTGTATTTCATTCGGTGATACCCGAATTTGGTCATGTTCTGAATTTTGTATGTTACTTTCTTGTTTTTGGTTATCAGGTAAGAAATGGTGAAGCATAACAATGTTATCCCTAATGGGCATTTTAAGAAGCATTGGCAGAATTATGTGAAGACTTGGTTCGATCAACCTGCTCGGAAAACAAGGAGAAGAATTGGTACTGATTCTTGTCATTTTTTAATGAAACAGACTTCATTGGGCTTCCTTTTCAGTTTCCTACTTCATTAATCTGTATCATTTTTTGGACGAAGTTTAGTACATATGCTAATCTTTGCTTTACACTTTGCTTGTAGCACGCCAGAAGAAAGCTGTCAAGATCTTCCCCAGGCCTACAGCAGGACCTCTCCGTCCAGTGGTGCACTGCCAAACCCTGAAATATAACATGAAGACGAGGGCAGGCAGAGGTTTTACCCTTGAAGAACTCAAGGTTTGAATCTGAATTTATAATTCTAAAATATTGCAGTAAATTATATCCAAAAATTTGTCATAATGGCTTGTATCTTGCAAATTAGTGTCTAGTTGCCATAGCTTTAAAGGTGAAGTTGAAGTTGCATGTTTGTAAACCTTGCAATTAGTGTCGAGTTGCCGTAGCTTTAAAGGTGAAGTAGAAGTTGCATGTTTGTATACCTTACTTATAGCATCTTTATATGAGAAATAGTGTTTTAGATGAAATTGCCTGAACTCTTTTTAGTTTCATATTGTGACTGATCATGTCACTATCCGTTGGATAGTTCATTTATGGCATCTCATTAATTGGAAATCATCGTTATCTAGAAAAAAATCGTATAGCTTTTTGGAGTTTATGAGGCACTTGCAAATTCTTTTTTATAGAGACCGCCTGACCTCTAGTGTTTAATGTGCATCAAATAGCCAACTCAGCTGAATATGATCAGCATTGATTATTTAATTGAGACCATTAAGGCATCAGTACATACCATTACTCAGTAGCAAGCCCGGATAGATAAAAAAAACTTTTATTTCTTATTTACTTTAGATACATGTAACCTTTTATCATGTTGTTGACATAATCTAAGTGCTAATTGACTATACTTTCTGACTGTCAAGCATGTTGCATCATAGAATTTTTACTTGCTCCGCAGATGGCTGGGATCCCCAAGAAATGGGCGCCTACTGTTGGTATTGCTGTGGATCACCGTAGGAAGAACCGGTCTCTTGAGGGTCTTCAGTCTAATGTGCAGAGGCTGAAAGAGTACAAGGCCAAGCTGGTTATTTTCCCAAGGCGCCCTGGCAAATTCAAGGTAAGCACAGCCAAAATAAAACCAGTCATTCAGCAAAATATCCATGCAGATCAATTTTGACTGTCTACTGTACACTGCTTTCGACATAACAAAACATGCCAAATTTATATCTCACAATCTGTTGCAAATTGACTTGACACTAGTTGTCTATTCAGCGTTGCATTCCAGTTGTGCACGTCATAAAGGCATGTAATTCTATAGAGTACGCTCTGTAGAAGATCATACAGAGAGGAAGGAGAACATGACAAGTCGCTCTCATCACCAATTTTAAATCAGACATCCAATATGCAATATCAATTAGAATTCTCTATCAGCGAGAGGACTAGCCTTAAAATCCGTACTCCCTTTGTGTTTATTCTCCTTCCTATACGATCTGTACCAGCCTTAAAATCAGTACTCCCTTTGTGTTTATTCTCCTTCCTATATGATCTGCGTTGATGGTTCTTTACAGGATTTTCCATCATAAAACTTTTTGTCTATAGAAGATTCCTGAATGATTTTATATCTTGAAGCTGTGATTGCAATTTCATCGTTCAATGCTGGGTTTGTAAGCTGAATGGTGTTATTGTGTTATTGTAGAGTGGTGATTCTGCTGCTGAAGAGCTAGCTTCATCCACCCAAGTCCAGGGTGACTATATGCCCATCACCAGAGAGAAGCCGGTTGTCAGTCTCATCAAGGTGACTGAAGAGATGAAGGCTTTCAGAGCTTACCAGAAGCTTCGCTTGGAGAGGACAAACAAACGTCACCACGGCGCAAGGCTCAAGAGAGCTGCCGAAGCTGAGAAGGAAGACAAGAAGTGATCAAGGACATGGGCGTTTCATTTTACCCTCTAGCTATGTATCTTAATTTGCTCTAGGTGAACATTTTTGAGTGGGGACTATTGAGGAAATTTTGAAGTCTTGATATATCTTTTGAATTTTTCAACATTTGTTTGATGTTTAATGAGACACCTGCTATTTTGCTGCTTTTTTATGTGTGATTCACTTGTCATGGATCTTCCTTCTTTCTACATGCATCCTTAAAAGTTTGTTTCATGGTTCCTATGCTAAGTTCTGTTTCCACGCATCCGTGGAGGGTATATCATCTTACATTTTATGTCCTTAAATTTAGTTACTCAACCATTACACCAAAATTTTGAACTTTTGGTGAGGATAATTAATTATAGTTTTATATTAATTCTAACATGTCCTTGCAGGTTGAGCGTTCTATTTTTACGGGTTGAAATCTAGACTCACACATCGGTGTTAATTTTTTTAGAAAATCCGTTTTTAATTCGTGGTAAGTTGGATTTTAATCTGGGTTGTTTTGATATCATTTTAAATTTAGTTCCTCTAACTATTACACTAAAATTCTTTAGGGTGAAGATCAACAATTATAGTTTTATATTAATTTTTTACGGTAGTGCAAATCTTGAGGGTTACTTGCATGTAGGTAGATTTGCTTGATTAAAATTTTTAGCTCTTTTTTACCTCAAGTATCTACCAAAATCAAGGGATGGATAATTATTTATTCATGAATATTAAACATAGCTCAAATATGACGATTGCGTGAGGTAGGCATGCAAACTGAAGCAAACCAAAACCTTAGCTGAATTGAAACTAAAAACATTGTAACCTAATCTTAACCGACATCTTATGCATCATCCAAATCTCATGCATACAGCCGTCTACAAATCCTTGCGGATGCCTTCCATTCTTTCTCGCCCTGAGCCCCTCTCAATGGAGAAGAGCAAAACCCTACTTGGGGATGATGCGATCCTCCCCCACCCTCTCATGTTCTCTCTGATCCGGATCTTGGGTCTGATCTTCGTGGACCCATTTAGATTAAACATGCTGAGTGGGCTCAACTTTCAGCCCGTTAAGCACGACGTCGCGCGGCTCGCGCCGTATAGTGAGGTCATGGCTCATTGGCCCAGGGACAACCAGAGCAGGCTGAGGTTCAGAAGGCTCGAGTTCGTCGACGAGGTGTTTGGGACGGAGTCCATTGAGTTCGACGTCGAGGGTATCAGGCCTTACGCGGGTCTAGCCGACGATCGGATTGTTCGGTGGATGGGTGAGGCTGTAGGAGGAGAGACGTTTACAGTTGTTAGCCCAAATTGGTAAAGCCCAAAATAATACATTTCTCTTGAAAATGCAGAATGACATGAATATCTGATGATATGCATGAATATCTTGAAAATCCAATCAGATATGAATGTAATTTTTCTTTAAAAAAAAGTTTTTGGCTGGATTCATGCATTGAATGGTACGTATAAATTTTGGATTCGGATTCTGATATCCAAATATCTAAGTTTGCTAAACTCATTAGTGAACTAAGTATAAAACTATTGCATCATTTGATCTGCATACTTCGAGTTTTATCAGTTTCTCATATCTGATATTTATCCATATTTATCTCCTCATGCAATCCCCCGTATCTATATTGAGTTTTGTTTTTGTCACGTATTGATATGGGCTTTCTTATCAAACCATTACATATTTGTAATGTGTATCCGTGATTAGTACGCATGTAGGCAAATATAATATAAATCATATTCGATCCGTACCCGATCCATTTGCATCCTGTGACAATGCTGTGAAGGTCAGAGAAGGTGTGTGCTAACGGAGTGGACTCGACGACGAAGAAGCAACACGAGCACGAACTAATAACTGTGTTAAAGTATCCGGATATCCGAACCGTACCCGCAAGTTCAACCCAATAACCGTATCCGGACCCTATCGCAGCCCTCTTCTGGGTACCTCCGAGCCTCGGCATCATCTGCGCCCTCCCTCCAGAAACAAAAAAGCTATTTCGCTCAGGGACTGTTTGGTTGTATTTTTTTATCATGTAAAAGGATGGAAAGTATAAAAAAGTGGGTCCCAATGTCAGTTTTCATCCCTTTACATTGTTTGTTTAAATTCTCTTTTACATGAAAAGCTTACACCTTTTGATGAGGTGTCACCGAAAGCAAAATCACCAAAATTAGGAGTGATTTTGTTGGAAAGCTTACACAATGTCATAAATGTGTCCAAAATAATAATAAAAAAGTTAAAACCTTTTAGAAAGTGGTGAGGTGGATAACCACTTTCCATTTTGTGTCATAAATACTCTAGTTTACATTATACTATCCAAACAATGTAATACTATTATTTTAGGATTCACAAAGATTCCTAACCAAACAATGTAAACACCAAACAATGTAAACACTCGAATGGAAAGTGTTGAGGTGGATAACCACTTTCTATTTTATGTCATAAATACTCTAGTTTCCTAAAAGCATCCAAACAGCCTCTCAGGGTTGAAAAGAGGTGAACGGGGGGCGGGCTCCAATGCTGTAGGGCCCGCCTCCCTGTTCACCTCTCCTCGAGTTGAGGGCTCGCGGTTGAGCAGCGAACCAAATAGCAGAGTTCCTCCGGAAATTACCCCACTCTAAAATTTAGATGCATCTTTACAACCTGACCCTGCAGCAGGCGACGGGCGCTGTTTGTGCGATCAATGGCAACTTCGCCGGCGGCAAATCCCAAGAGATCGTTGTTGCCCGTGGAAAGACAGACGACCTCATCCGCCCTGACGATTCCGGCAAGATCCAGACCCTCCACTCCGTCGACGTCTTCGGCCATCAGATCCCTCGCCCACTTCCGCCTCACCGGGTCCCACAAGGACTACATCGTCGTGGGCTTCGACTCGGGCCGCATCGTCATCCTTGAGTACCAAAAAGGACAAGAATGCTTCGACAAGATCCATCAGGAGACCTTCGGCAAGTCCGGCTGCCGCCGCCACGTCCCGGCCAGCATCTGTCCGTTGATCCCAAGGGCCGAACCGTCATGATTGCTGCCTGCGAGAAGCAGAAGCTCGTCTATGTCCTCAACCGCGACACCGCCGCCCGCCTCACCATCCTCCCCCCTCGAAGCTCACGAGTCCCAGACCGTAACCTATTCCATCACCGGTGTCGACTGCGGCTTTGAAAACCCCATCTTCGCTGCCATCGAGCTCGACTACTCCGAGGCCGACCAGGACTCCACAGGTAATTTAATCGAATACTAAAGGTATGTTCATTTTGCTAAAGAATTTGATTTTCAAGTAGTATTTAAATTTATAATTGAAAATTATTCATTTGCAATTATGATGTATATATATTTAATTTGAATAATTTGTTAGAAAATTGATTTAATATACAATAGTAAATGTAAGTGGGTTGAGAATATAACATCGTGTGTGTGTGTAGTATGATACAAAGTATAAGAGATTAAAATTTAAAACGAAAGCTTAATAAGAAAACAAATTGAATGTATGGTTAAATTCTATTCGTTTATGAATTCGAATACTAAAATTATTTTCTTAGTGATCAACTATCAAATCGAATATGATTGAATAATAATTAACAAACTGTATGTAAATTATCTACAGGTGTATGTAAATTATCTACAGGTCAGGCTGCCGCCGTTGCTCAGAAGCACCTCGCATTCTACGAGCTCGATCTCGTCCTCAACCATTTTCCCCGCAAGTGGACCGAGCCTATCGACAATGGGGCGAATCTCCTTGTAACTGTCCCTGGAGGAGGAGATGGACCCAGCGGCATCCTCATCTGTGCCGAGAACTTTGTCATCTACAAGAACCAGGGACATCCCGATGTGCGTGCTGTCATACCTCGGAGAGCCGATCATCCTGCAGAGCGTGGAGTTCTCATAGTCTCTGCTGCCACCCATCGTCAGAAGTCCATGTTCTTTTTCCTCTTGCAGACCGAGTATGGCGACATCTTCAAGGCCACTCTCATCCATGAGGGCGACTGCGTCACTGAGCTCAAGATTAAGTACTTTGATACCATCCCGGTCACCTCTGCCATGTGCGTCCTCAAGAGTGGGTACCTATTTGCTGCTCGGAATTCGGAAACCATGGGCTCTACCAGTTTCAGGCAATTGGGGATGGAGACGATGTTGAGGCCTCCTCTGAGACTTTGATGGAAACGGAGGAAGGCTTCCAGCCGGTCTTTTTCCAGCCACGAAGCTTGAAGAACCTTGTGAGGATTGACCACATTGCGAACCTCATGCCTACCATGGACATGAGAATCATGAACTTTTTTAAGGACACCTCAGATATTCAGTCTGTGTGGTCGGGGCCCTCGTTCCTCCCTTAGATATTGAGACCTGGGTTGTCTATCAGCGAGATGGCTGTGGAGAGGCTCCCTGCTGTGCCCAACACTGTGTGGACAGTGAAGAAAAATGTGACTGATGAGTTTGATGCGTATATTGTTGTCTCCTTCCCCAATGCTACCCTTGTCCTGTCGATCGGTGAGACGGTTGAGGAAGTCAGTGACAGCGGGTTTCTTGACACCACGCCTTCACGTGCGGTTTCTTTGCTATCGGGGATGATTCTCTGATGCAGGTCCATCCGAATAACTCAAGCATTTGATATCTAGAACTAGTTGATTTTTGTGTACTTGACCAGGCATTAATTCAATAACTCAGGTATTTATGTGAGCACATATACATGTACAGATATTACACTAATTAATTGGATAACTAAAGTGAAATGATAAATAGAAATTGTGAATATAAAAAAAATGTATTAATTATCCAACCTTGATTATCTGATGCAGGTCCATCCGAATGGTATTCGCCACATCAGAGAAGATGGTCGTATTAACGAATGGAAGACGCCCGGGAAGAAGACCATTGCCACGGTTGGATCCAACAGGCCTCAGGTTGTCATTGCTCTCAGTGGAGGGGAGCTTATATACTTTGAGATGGACATGACAGGTCAGCTGATGGAGGTGGAGAAGCATGAGATGCCTGGGATGTGGTCTGCTTGGACATTGCACCTGTTCCTGAAGGGAAGCAGAGGTCTCGTTTCCTTGCAGTTTGCTCCTATGACAACACTATCCGCATTCTGTCGCTGGATCCTGACGATTGTATGCAGGTTTTGAGTGTGCAGAGCGTGTCCTCACCTCCGGAATCACTTCTCTTGCTTGAAGTGCAGGCTTCCACTGGGGGAGAGGACGGCGCCGATCACCCTGCCAGTGTATTTCTTAATGCTGGTCTGCAAAAGGGTGTCCTGTTCAGAACTGTAGTGGATATGGTCACTGGACAGCTCTCCGATACTCGTTCGCGTTTCTTGGGTTTGAGAGCCCCGAAGCTTTTTTCAGCGACGGTGGCGCCGATCACCCTGCCAGTGTATTTCTTAATGCTGGTCTGCAAAATGGTGTCCTGTTCAGAACTGTAGTGGATATGGTCACTGGACAGCTCTCCGATACTCGTTCGCGTTTCTTGGGTTTGAGAGCCCCGAAGCTTTTTTCAGCGACGGTAAGGGGCAGACAGGCTATGCTTTGTTTGTCAAGCCGTCCTTGGCTGGGGTATATACATCAGGGGCATTTTCTGTTAACTCCTCTTTCCTACGAAACACTTGAGTTTGCTGCCTCTTTCTCCTCCGACCAGTGTGCTGAGGGTGTAGTCGCAGTTGCTGGAGATGCTTTGAGGGTATTCACTATTGAACGGCTGGGGGAAACATTCAATGAGACGGTAATACCTTTGTGCTATACTCCAAGGAAGTTTGTCCTCCAGCCCAAGAGGAAACTCTTAGTCATCATAGAGAGTGATCAGGGAGCATTCACCGCAGAAGAGCGCGAATCTGCGAGAAAAGAGTGCTTGGAGGCTGCAGGTGTTGGTGAAAATGGAAATGCAAATAATGGTGAACAGATGGAGAATGGTGCTGATGATGAGGAGAAGGAAGATCCTCTTTCTGATGAGCAGTATGGTTATCCGAAGGCAGAATCAGATAAGTGGGCGTCTTGCATCAGAGTTCTCGATCCAAGGTCAGGAAACACTACTTGTTTGCTGGAGCTGCAGGACAATGAGTCTGCTTTTAGCGCATGTACTGTGAATTTTCATGATAAGGAGCATGGGACTCTACTTGCTGTGGGTACAGCAAAGGGGTTGCAGTTCTGGCCAAAGATGACTTTTGTTGCTGGGTTTATTCACATATACAGGTTTATAGAAGATGGAAAATCCCTTGAATTGCTGCATAAGACACAGGTAGAGGGAATTCCACTAGCCTTGTGTCAGTTTCAGGGAAGGCTTCTTGCTGGGATTGGCCCAGTTCTCAGATTGTATGATCTGGGGGAAAAGGAGACTACTAAGGAAATGTGAGAACAAACTCTTCCCAAATACAATTATCTCTATTCAGACATACCGGGACAGGATTTATGTTGGTGACGTCCAAGAGGTATGTGATACTACTTGTTCGTATGGTTCTTGATTCAGTATTTTAGTGTTCCTAAGAAGCTAAATTTGTTGAAAACTGATGCTTTCCCTTTCATATATTTCTTTACTAGTAAAAATTTCTTTTTTCTGCACTAAATGTCCCATGAATATTAGTTAGGCATGGCAAGCTTTGGGGTACAAGGTGGCAGGTCTTCTTCTATAATGTTATACGACCTTTAAACATGATTATTATGTGTATTGGTGTTTTCTTGTGCAAAATGTAATATCGATATTTTATGCTTCTAAATTATTCATAACTTGAAGCTCAATGCAAGAATTGTCAACTTTATTTATTTTCTTTCAGGATATTAGCGTGGAATGAAGCTGCCTTTGGTTTTGAGAAGATAACACATTTCACCTTGTCTTTTGTATTCTTCGTACAGGATCCTTGTGTTTTTGGTTAGTTACATGTGTCCTTCCTTGAGGAAGCAGATCATGAAAAGCCAAACTAATGATATATTCTGACAAATTGACCATGGTTTCACTTATATTTGCAATTTCTGAGCTATGGACACTAATTCAGTCTCCCACAACACTTGTCTTATATCAATGTGGATAAGTTAAGAGGACTAGCTTGTTCACATGCCCCTAACATGGAAAAGTTACATATGTGTGCGTGTTTGTGTGTGGAAATATTATGTTGTTTAGCCATATAAATTACAAATTTTTAGGTCAACCATACTTCATCAAAAATCACTAACAAATTTTGTTCTAGAACCTATTGCTTGGCTGGTGTATGATGCATAACTTAAAAGATAAAAGGCCAGAAAGCATGCAACTCCTTAAAATTATAAGTTAACAGAAACCAAACAGTACTACTTCTTAGCAGTAAGATACCATAGCTTTATTGTTCTTAGCTATTTTAATGTAGTAAGTAGTAACGAGAGTATTAGTTCATTCAAAATGAACATCATTGTGCTTCTCATCCAAATTAAGCTATCCATGCAACTATTGAGAAGCATGACAGATGAAATAGACAAGCGAAAAAAATCATGAAATAGACAAGTGGGAAAAAAATCAACTTACATCCTTTGTAAATTGTTTATATAAATGGTTTGTTATTTACCTTACCCCACTTGGAAGAATGTGCAGGATGCACATACAAGCACATACTGACACACACATGCAGTCACACACAAACATACACAAATTGCACACACTATAGAAGTTGGTTTTAGTTGAGAAAAATTGGTTACCGTCTTAGTAAACCTGTTCAGAAATGTGGACTCTGAAGGATCTCCTTTGTTTTATTTATTTATTTAATTTCTTCAGGCAGGGTTGTTTCATTGGGCGCTTTATTAATCACCCAGTACTCAAGCTATATGTTGTACTGGAGATAAATATGTGATTGTATCTAGTTTATGATGAAAATTTCTGACATAACAACAGGAAGCTTGCTTTGGTTGTTTGGTTCCTAAAGATCCAAACCTTGTGAAATATTATCAGGCTTCTCATGAAGTGCTCTTTTGACAATTTCTTACTTATGTTCAAACAACATATTAAAATAAATGGTAAAACAAACGCGAGGATGCTCTCAGGATAACAATTTAGCCGTGCAGGACTAGGAGCATATTTGATCTACGGGGCATTTATTATGTTGGTTGTTCATATTTAGATTGAAGGGTTAATTGCACACAGACCCCATTAGTATCGCTGTAGGCTGTCTAAAAATAATAAAAGATAGCTGATTCCCCATCAAACACCGATGATGGAAGTTACAATCTGACGACTTCCAGAAGGCTATCTTTAGCAACACTCTGACAGAAAGAGATTACAAATCGACGATTTCTTCAAACCAAGACGTGGAAGTCCTCCCTACGTACCATCTTCAAGACACAACACCAATTTGATTACCTACGCAACTTCAACCGCTGCAAACAAAAATACAGCTGCTTATGTGAGATGATTGATCTCGATGGCTGCGACAACAACATGACTAATATTATATTAGCAACTACTAGAGATGTTGATGAACAGTGTAATGATATTCGACACACTGAGGAGCACATGGTTAAACCATGCAAAGAAATCTTAGTGGAGATCGTGACCTGCAGTTGATAGAGCGTTGTTGAGATGCCTCAATTGTCACAAATGGCCTGAATAAGACCTTCTTTACTGGTCATTGGTGTCATCCATATATAAAGACAGAGAAGCTCGAACGCAGCTCTAACCGCCACCGAACGCAGCTCCATCGCTGTCAACGCAGCTCATCAACCGCTGCCAAACGCAGCTCCATCCCTGCCCAACGCAGCTCATCAACCGCGCCAAACGCAGCTCCATCGCTGCCCAACGCAGCTTATCATCGCTGCCCAACGCAGCTCATCATTGCTGCCCAACGCAGCTCATCATCGCTGCACAACTCATCAATCGCTGCCAACGCAGCTCTATCGCTGCACGACGCAGCTCGTCACAGCAGCTCTTTCCAATCACCGCCAGAACGCAAGTCAAGGTTCTGACTCATTCAAACGTGATCGTAACAACTTCGAAGCTGTTCTCTACCCACGATATAGGGAGTGGTTTACGTGGGTTGTTACACCCGATTAATGGGGTAACTAAACCCCCATTTAGGCGCAGATTATGAGGGCAGTTACACCCTTAATCCCCCTATAAATATCAACAAACTCAACAGAGTTAGGGGGGAGGGGATTTTTGATAATCAGATCGAGGGACGAGGCATCATTGGAGATCGGATTTTCTGGAGAGGATCTTAGAGAGAGAGTTGGAGAATTAACTCTTTATACAGTCTGGGGAATCAACATCCATTGAGGAATCCAGACGTTAGATACTTGGTTTATTAACCGAATCATTTTCGGTTCAAACAACTCTTTTTATCAGAGTTTGTTATTCGTTCTGAATTACAAAACTCATCAAGAGCAGACTAGACCGTTGTTCCAGTGAGTATAGATAGTCGGATCGTCAACGAGAAGCAAACTCGACGCGAGCACTCGAGGGAGGCATCTCATCGCTACCAAGAAGAACCCAGAATTAAACAAAGGAGAGAATCCAGATCATTCTCTTCTCTTTTGTAATCAGGAAATCCAATTGTAACTGAGATTAAAGGAATACAAATCAATTTTCCTTCATTTTTTTTACTGCAAATTTTTCCACAAACAAAAGATGGCGACTCTGCTGGGGACTAGCTTCTCTGACGAGGAAGTGGTGGCGCAATCCGACGTTCACCTCACTGGAACCCCTGTCGAAACTCTTGTTGTAGAATTCGACCAAGCCAAGTACGAGGAGGCCCTCTCCTCTGGATCGCTTAGCCCTAAAGCTAAGCGAGATGCCTGTAAGAGCTCTAAAGAGATCTTAACCGCCGTTGAGACGCCAAAGAAAGTCCTCTTCTTTGGCCAAAGCCTCAAACTCGCTTTGCAAACTGAAGATTCGATGCCCATTTCGACGCGGCGGGTACTGGGTTATAAGAGGCCTGTAACCGAGAAAGGCCCAATCAACACCGACGACGCTGCTGCTAAGGCTCTGAAACAAGCCAAGAAAAACGCCGCTCGAAGACGGAGAAGATCCATCCGACGAGCATATCTCCGAGAAAATCAATCCCTGGTCCAACGCAAAGATTGTGTTTCCGAAGCTCTGCCCAAACATTGCGTTCATACTCCAGAACACACACTACGAGGGAACGAATCCAATTATGAACCTCGGGTGATTCAACTTAAACGCGACCCTCAGTGGTGCGTTGTCCAATTAAAACACAGCCCTGCTAAGGGAAAACAGACGCCTCATGAGTGCGTCCAAACAAAACAAGACCTTAAGGGGTCTGTTTCATCGACTAAACGCAGGCCAAGGCCTGGTGTTTATAAATCATAACGCGACCCTTGCACTTCGCTTCCCGAATACGATGTGATCCGCCAAGTTAAAAAGAATCGAAGTGGACTCAAGATTCACGTCCACCAAGAACCAGTCTCGCCCCCTCAGAAACAGAGGGTCCTATCTCCGATGAAGAGTCAATCTCAAAGCCCTGACTTGCGAGAGTTACTCTCTAGAAGAAAACCAATACAACAGACGAATCATTCCTGCCATTGTGAGAGGATTATTTCAGCAGTCCTCTCCGAGTGCCAATGTTGCTCACCTGAACCCCGACAATCGGTGTTCGACAGATTGGCGGATGTCGTAAGACCTACCAAGAGACGACGCCATCATAAGAAGAAAGATTCTGAAGCCGAATATTTCCAGGTTACCATCAACATGACTAGCAGAGGAAAAGCCTCGTATCCTAGCTCTGATGAATTAGAAAGGAGCCATTCCCCGACTGTTCGGGAAATCTGTGATGAGTTCGAAGGAGTATATCGACATACTCGGTCACGGACCGGAGCTATACGACCGGTTAATTATCAAAGGTTAGCCAAAGGGATTACGACGAGTGATGAACATTCGGCAATTGCCGATTCTCAATCTTTAAGTTCCGTTGTCGCACGTGAGGTCTCTGCTTACACAACAGGGAACCCCGAGGACATAGCCAAAAGAGTGAAGGAACATCATGCCATGCTCCAGGCGCAACAGGAAACACTTCTCCAATTGAAGGATATGTTAGCCTAATTTCTCTCTGAAAAAGGGCAAAAACCCGAGTCTTCCCGGAGGACTACGTCAAAAGGAAAGCAGAAGGCGCACGAGCATTCAGATCGTGAGACTCACAACTTTGATTCTTCTTCCGATAATGAGAAGGAGATGGAAAAAGAGCTGTATCCTCAGTCAACCAAAGTGGATGAGCTAGAAGCCCGCCTTAACGCAATGGCCAACAAAAGCGAGCTTCGTGAGGAAGGAGTGATACTGTCTTACCCTGCAGAATGGGATACAGCTCCCTATCCGCCAAAGTTTAAGGCTCCAACGTTATAACCTTTTGATGGTACAGGATCATCAAATCAGCATATCTACTACTTCAAGTCTCAGACCGGAGATGTGGTAGCAAATGATGCCATCCTGACGCGCTTGTTCATCGGTACTCTTAAAGGA